GCTGTGGAGGGTGCCAACTTATACAATTCAATGAGTGATAAATGAAAGTAGGCAAATGATTTTTTTCCATAACTTGCCTGGCTTTTAGGCTAACATGATGAATATTATAATAATCGTTCTTAAATTAATAATTTCGAAAAGTCAATAACATTTTTGCTCTTGTATATAAATACTTGTTACCAAATAAAATCCTTACAAGTGACTTGATAAAGTTCCTCAGAAGATGAAACGCGTCGGCAAAGATAAACTTTACTTTTGTCTCGTATATTTTTTGCCTTACATACACCCCCACACCCCACGCACAAACACACACACACACACATATATATATATATATGTATAAACACACTTTGTATTTACACACGCTCTATCTCTGATATTGAACACTTTATCCAATAAATATAGCACACCTTAAGACTATTTCTTCATATATATATATATATATATATATATATATATATATATATATATATATATATATATAAATAGAATTACATATATGCAATATGTGTGTCTGTGAACGTTCCATATAGGACAAATATTTTCTATGAAAATTTCGCGGACATACAGGCCGGTAAATGTCGTTAATATTGTTTATTATAAACAGAGCATTTATTTAAATATTTAAATATTTGTATCTATAAAAAGAATGTATAAACATAAAATGTCTTAAAATAATTGTCGGACTTTGTCCATTTCATAATATATATATATATATATATATATATATATATATATATATATATATATATATATATATCGTAACATCTGATAAGTTTGATAACATTATCATTAAACGAAGAAAAGAAATTCACAATATTGATCCATATTTTTTAATATAATCTAAGCTTTCGGCTTACTTAAACCATTATCAAAGATGTAAATCACAAACATATTAAACAATATACGGACACGACAGTGATGATAGTCTGTCATTGTTTACATAGGTGATCACTAAGCAACGATAAACACGCGCATATAAGACGCTAGAAGCGAAAATCGCACCGCATCTCATGACGTCACACATGACCACACCAGAGTGAATTGTAGAATGAAGTAAGGAAAGCCGTTGGTATAAACCAATGGCTTCTGTTACCAATTATAGACATTTAAGAATATTTGTAGAGATTCCATAATTGATTTTGTTTAGGTTGGGTTTCAAATGTTTGATGTATAATGCTTCAAGTATTTTTTAGTTTTTGTCTATTGTTTTCATGTCGAAGTATAGTTGTTTTCGACAAGTATTTTACGGAATTGTGTGTGCGGGCAGGCATGTTGTTTTAAATGCCTAAAAATGTTACAGTTTTCATTAAAATGTAATGTCAAGCGTCGTGAAAGCGAGTTTGTGGTGTGACCAACATCAATATTATTTAATTCGTTGGAAATACAATCTCCCAAAGGGCACTTGAATTTATAAACTATGTTGGTTTTTTTGCAAATCGCTAACCGGGGGAGAAGAATCATTTGAAGTATTAAGTTGGATATACTAGATTTAGTGTAGTATATGATTAATTTAATTTTTTGCTAGGATCTGTAGTTGATATATTAGAATTTACTAAATTTTTTAGTATGTTTTCATCTTGTTTATAATTAGTATGCATTTGATTACGATATAGGAGATTAATATATTTGAGATCAGTAGAAGCAGTATTATGTACAATTTGCTTATTATTGAGATTTCTAAGAAAGCATCTTATTTGTTCATCAACTATATAGTTTGGAAAGCTATTATTAATAAGTGTCTGTTTTATATTCTTTAGTTCTGGATATATATATATATATATATATATATATATATATATATATATATATATATATATATATATATCCAGACTAAGTTCAGCAAGATCGAAATTTATATTCGGTCATGGTAATTTTTCTTTATTTCTCTTGATTGTTGCAATACCCCGTGGGGAGGTCAATGGGTCACAATTCCTGGAAGAGACTAACCTTTGTGGTGGTAGTGGTTGGTGGTGGTGGTGGTGGTGGTGTGAAAAGGCGACAGTAAGGCTTGACCAATCACTTTCAATTTCATTGTGTTTCCTCTTAACTTTCTACAAGCGATGTCATTTGTCAGACTCGAGCTGTTCACTTTAAAGATTCTTTCTTCTCTCTCTTTCTCTCCTAATTTCATCACTTTCTCATCCCTTCTCCCCTTTGACTCTTCTCTTCCCTCTCACTGCCTTTGAAACTCCTCTTTCTTTCCCCTCTCTCTTTATTTTGTTCACCCTCTCTATTTCGCCCTCTCTCACTTCCCTCTCTCTTTATTTTGTTCACCTCTCTATTTCACCTCTCTTCTCTCTCTCTTTATTTTGTTCACCTCTCTATTTCGCCCTCTCTCACTTCCCCCTCTCTTTATTTTGTTCCCCTCTATTTGCCCTCTCTACCCTCTCTCTTTTTCGCCCTCTATTTCCCCTCTCTCCTCCCCTCTCTCTTTATTTTATTCACCCTCTCGATTTCGCCCTCTCTCTCACTTCCCCTCTCTCTTTATTTTGATCACCCTCGATTTCACTCTCACTTCCCTCTCTCTTTTATTTTGTTCACCCTCTCTATTTCCCTCTCTCCTTCCCCTCTCTCTTTATTTTGCTCACCCTCTCCTTCCGCCCTCTCACTTCCCTCTCTCTTTATTTTGTTCACCCTCTCGATTTCGCCTCTTCTTCCCCTCTCTCTTCTATTTTCTCACCCTCTCCCCTCTCTCTTTATTTTGTTCACCCTCTCTATTTCGCCCTCTCTCACTTCCCCTCTCTCTTTATTTTGCTCACCCTCTCTATTTCGCCCTCTCTCACTTCCCCTCTCTCTTTATTTTGTTCACCCTCTCTATTTCGCCCTCTCTCACTTCCCCTCTCTCTTTATTTTGATCACCCTCTCTATTTCGCCCTCTCTCACTTCCCCTCTCTCTTTATTTTGTTCACCCCTCTCGATTTCGCCCTCTCCTCTCTCTTTATTTTTCCCCTCTATTTCGCCCTCTCTTTCCCTTCTCTTTATTTTGTTCACCCTCTCTATTTCGCCCTCTCTCCTTCCCCCCTCTCTTTTTATTTTCTCTCTCTTCCCTTCTCTCTCTTTTTTTTGTTCACCCTCCTGATTTCGCCCTTCCTTCCCCTCTCTCTTTTTATTTTTTCTCCCCTCTCTCTTCCCCTCTCTCTTTATTTTGTTCACCCCTCTATTTTCTCTCTTCCCTCTCTTTATTTTTCTGCTCACCCCTCTCATTTCGCCCTCTCTTCCCCTCTCCTTTATTTTGTTCTGCCCCTCCTATTTCGCCTCTCTTCTCTCTCTTTATTTTTCCTCTCTATTTCGCCCTTCTCTTCCCTCTCTCTTTATTTTGTTCACCCTCTCTATTTCGCCCCCCCTTTTTTATCTTTTTTCCTTTTCTTCTTTTCTTTTCTCTTCTCTTTCTCTCCCTTCTCTCTCTTCCTTCTTCAATTATCTTCCCTCTCTTTTCCGCCTCCCCCCTTCTTTGTCATCTTTCTCTCTCTACTTCCTTCTCTCACCTTTCTCTTCTTGCCCCCTCTATCTCTTTCTCTAGTTTCTTCTGTCTCCTTCAGCTCTCCCTATTTCCCGTCTCTCTATCCTCACTCTCTCTCTCTCTTGCTCTCTCTCTCAATCTTTTAATACCTCTCTCCCTCCTCCTCTTCCTCACAATGTTTCCACTATTCTCCTTTCTCTTTCGTTATTTCCATTCAAGTATCTTTCTTCTTTCTTTTCTTTTTCTCTCCTTATTGCTTTTACTCCTTCACTTCTCTCTCTCTCTTTCCTGTCTCTCTCTCGTCTCTCTCACTCTCTCTCAATTCCCTTTCTCTTCTCTCTCTCTCTCTCTCTCTCTATATATATATATATATATATATATATATATATATCACCTGTACCTCCTTCCTCTTTTCCTTTTTCTCCTTACTCTCTCTTCTCTGCCCTACCAATTTTCTCTTTCTTCTTCTCTCCCCTGTCCTTTTTCACTCTTCCTCTCCTTCTTGGCTTATCCCTCTTTCCTATCTCTTCCTCGTCTCTCTCTCTCTCTCGGTTCTCTCTCCCTCTTATTCTCATCACTACCTCCTTCCTCTTTCATTTTTCTCTCTTTACTCTCCCTTCTCTGTCTCCCATCAATTTTCTCTCTTTCCTCTCCCTTTTCACTCTTCTCTCTCTTCCTTGACTTATCCTTCTTTCCTATCTCTCTCTCTCTCGCTGATTCCCTCTAAAACCCTCTGTCGCATCTCTACCTCCTTCCTCTTTCACTTTTCTCTCTTTACTCTCTCTGTTTCCGTCAATTTTCTCTCTTTCCTCCCCTCTCCCCTTCCCCTTTTACTCGTCTCTCTCTTCCTCCTTCTATCTCTTTCCTCTTTGTCCATCTTCTTTCTGTCTTTCTCTTCTCTCTCAATTTCTTAATTATCTTATCTCTCTCTCTCTCTCTCTCTCTCTCGTGCAGTTCTCTCTCTACGCGTTACTTAAAACTCTCTTTTTCTTAGCTCTCCTCTTTCTCTCTCATAATTCTTCACCTCTCCTTTTTTTTATATCTGCCCCCGCTTATTTTCTGTCTTTGCTCTCTGTCAAATCTCCCCTTCCCTACTCTCTCTCTCCCTTTCTCTCTCTATCTCTCTCTCTCTTGTGTCACTCACTCTGCTCTCCCTTTTTTCTATATCTCCACTCAACTAGCTTTCTTTCTTTTCTCTTCTCTGCTTTTATTTTTAACTTCTCCCTCTTTCCTATCTGTCCCTCGTCTCTCTCTCTCCCTCTCTTAGTTCTCTCTCTATCGCGTCTCTGCCTCCTTCCTCTTTCACTTTTTCCACCTTTTCTTTGTCTCCCATTAACTTTCTCATTTTCCACCCTCCTCTTTCTCGTCCTGGGTATGACGATAAACTATATCCGGCAGCAAGGCCTCTGATCGGGTGATTGGAGGTTTTGAGGAACGTGAAATCACCTGCTGTTGTTGTCAGAGTCCCCATGACCCTCGGAGTGGTAGCACCTGTTAGGGTTCCGGCTATGAGCAAATAGTGACCCCCCCCCCAAAAAAAAAGATCAACGGTATATTTTTATTATAAAATGACCAAAGATACATTTTTTTTTCAGTGCAACACTAAAAAATATAAAAAATACATTTTTATAGTAAAATTACCAACAATACATTTTGTGATATATAAATAATATATCTAAAAAAACATGCTTTCATTCTAAAGTAAATGACCCATATAGATATTGGTATGCCGCTAAACAAAATCAACCAACAATCTATCTTCTCTCTCCTCGTCTCTCTTTTTTATCTTCTTCTTTTCTTTCTTTCTTAATCACCTCTTTCCATTCAACAATTTTTCTCTCTTTCTTCTCTTTCTCTCTCTCTTTGTCTTCCTCTTTCCTCTCTGCCCATTTCCTCCCTTTCTTGCCTCTTCCCTTATTTCCCCCTCTCTCTCTCTTCCCTCTTTATGCTCTATTTTAACTCTCCAATCAACAATTTTGCTTTCTTTTATCTGTCTTCACTTTCTCTCTTCTCTCCTCCTCTTTGAACTCTCTCTCTCTCTCTTTCTTATCTTCTCCGTCTTTCGCCTTCTTTTTCCTAATCAACTCTCTCTCTACTCACCTATTTTCTCTTTCTCTCTAATTTCTTCCTCTTTCAAACCTCTCCCTCTTCTCCCTATCTTCCTCTTCCCTCTCTTTCTTACCTCTAACCGTCCCTCTTATTTCTCTCAACTTTCTCTTTTTATGTTTTATTTTCTCTCTCTACTCAACTGTGCATCTCTCCCTTTTCTTTCTCTGCCTTTCTTTCTCATCTTTCTCCCCACTTTATTCTCTCTACCCGTTTCTCTTTTAAGATGGCGGACAGTTAAGCACTTCATTTCTATTTGAATCTTTCTTTTTTCATCGGTAGTTTTTTTTCTTTTTCTTTTTTTTAATGAAGGCCTTGAGAGGGTTCAAGAGAGGTCAGACATTGAATGTTCCTTTTTTTGTTTGTTTACAAAGTGGGGCGGGGAGCAATCGGTTCTTTTTCGAGCAGAATATCGGAATAATAATGCCTTTCACTGTATTTCCATTACGTCCGTGTGTCAATGTGGGGTGGGGACCGAGAGCGGTAATCGGAGCAAACAATGAAATCGAAAAGTCGAATGAAAATTCCGACCGATAACGTTTTGCCTTCATGCTGATACCCTTGGGATAAATAGGAAAGCATTTTATCTGTACGACCCCCCTCCCCACCAACTAATTAAAGAGCGGGAAAGATCAGACTCTTCTGCCTTGGGACAGCAACCAGTTTCGAAGAATAACTCTGAATTCAAATCCTATGCCAACTCGTTGTGGGCAACGAGATGGGGTAACACTATTTACGTTCTCACATTTAATAAACTATATTAAACTAAATATATAATATATATATATATATATATATATATATATATATATATATATATATATATAAGTGAACATTGAAGTCAACACTTAGAGACGACAGGCTAGACGCAATCGTCAGGCTATATATATATATATATATATATATATATATATATATATATCCAAGAGGATAAAATCCAGGTAGGACTCTATTTACAAAACAGAGCTAGAATATAATATAAAAGGCTCAAGCACTAATTTATTACATTGGAATCATAATCACGAACTACAAATTCAAAATAGAAAACGGAAAATATATCTCTGGGTATAAAAAAATTCAGTGATAGTTTATATGTGGGTGTTGAGAGGTTGAGAGGGAAATGTATGTATGCTCTAGAGAAAAGTGAAGAAGAAGAAGAAGAAGGAGGAGGAAGAAGAAGAAGAAGAAGAAGAAAAGAAGAAGAAGAAGAAGAAGAAGAGCTTTAATGTGAGGGTAGGGAATAAAATTTAAAAGAGAGAAATTAAATAACGGAGACATATTTTCTTTTTGAATTTGTAGTTCTGATGATTTGGATCTTGATTACGATTCCAATGCAATAAAAACCATCGAATATTAGTGTTTGGGCTTTTTATATCATATATATATATATATATATATATATATATATATATATATATGTGTGTGTGTGTGTGTGTGTGCGTGTGTGTGTGTGTGTTTTGTGTGTGTGTGTTGTGTGTGTGTGTGTGTGTGTGTGTGTGTGTGTGTGTGCCTTAGTTATATATATATATATATATATATATAGGAATAAATTCAACGCAAAACTTTGATCTAAAGAATGCCACACTTATTAAAAGAGAAAGTAACAGAAAGTTCTTAAGAGTGTCGCTATTGAATCTTATCAAAATATTAATCTACACCCAGGATTTTTCCAGTGTCTCCATTCCAGAAAGAATGACTCCTTCATCAAGCCAAGATGCATGAAAAGAAAAATGTTCAAAAATTAAAAGGAGACGCTTTCTATAATCTTATTTTATTCAAAATATATAACAAATAAATTAGTCCAAAACTAAAATAATTTAAACACTAATTTGCATATATAATTAAAAAATCGTTTATTAGACAATGAATATTACCACTTCATGTCCTCCATAACTAGACTTTACAGTTAACTCTATGAATATTTATG